GACCTAGGAGAGGGCGCAAAAACCAGCTACCAGACCATGGAGTGTATGATTCTGCGCCACTGCTGTCGCAGTGAGATCAAACACAGGAGAAGCTTCCTGTCCTTCTTGTACTGTGACACAAAGGCGTGTGAATTTTTCTGCCCTTCCTCCTTGCTTCACCTCATTCCGGATGCTTTGAGTACTTTGGCCACATGAAATGTAGTAACTTCTAATGTGGCTTTTGTGTTAAAGTGGCTTTTTTCAGGAGTGGGGGGGTCAATATAGCACCTTGCCAAGGGCACATGAGGCTCCTTGTCTCAGTACATCTCTGCTTCCAGGGGTGGCCTGGCAGTGGTGGTCACAGCCAGATGCATGTCTCGTTTCTGCACAAACTCACACGTGCCTCTCGGTCTGCCATCCAGGCAAACAAAGGCATTGTTGGAGTTCATGGAAGCATTCCTGCCAGGCAAAAATACTCAAGGTGGGCGCAAAGCATTGCCAATGAGGCATATGACCTGGAGAGAAGGGACATGGCCAGAGGAGAGTCTCAAGGGCCAGATAGAGAGGGCTGGGGGTTTGTTGGTCTCCATCCCTGGCCTAGGAGAAGCCACAGAAAGCTCGCTAGCATGGAGCAAATCCCAGTGTAGGCAGCAGGTGGGCTGTCAAACGTGTCGCTCACCACATCCCTGCCCACACATAAAATATTATAAAACCTGAAAATCATTGCTCAGTACAGTGATTCACACAGGGTCACGCTGAACCACATGGGTCTGCAAAGCAGGTGTAAGATTGCCCCTCTTGCACCTACCCTGCCACTAGGGTGAACCGCCCTGAGATCTTATTAAGAAGGGCAGTATATAAATCTAATAAATAATAATAATAGGCCATTTCTACATTGTGGTGGCTGGCCCCTATGTTAGCACTAAAGGGCAGCATCCTATGGTGGTGTTCATGCTTAGTGCAGACATTGTTTCTGGCAACGTCATATTGGTGGCATAAATAATTGCACCTACTTGTTGTTGGCATCATATGAGGTACCCTGACATAAATAGACATGATTTAGAGTCTCTTGAACTCTCTTTTTTTGGCAGAACATGAATGGTGGTGGCTTATATACACTATGCTTTTAAATGTGCTTTGAAAGCACATTTCTACCGTCAAAAGATTTTGGGTACTGTAGTTTGCCACTCACTGAGTTACGATTCCCAGCAAGCCATAACAAACTACCCAGAATTCTTTGAGGGGGGAAATATGCTTTGAATGTGCTTTAAAGGCATAGGCTAAGTGAGGTCTACCTAGGGTCATGTTTTGCCTAGGATAAAAAAGAAAAAGAAACAGACCCCACCTCCAGTATTAGAGCAATCAGCCATTCAGTGCTGACTTCCTCAATGTTTCTTCTCAAGGAATTCATCCTTACCTGTCAAAGGTCAGGGCGATTTTCACTTCCTGTTGGCTTAACCAGGAAGCAGCGAAAAGAGCTTCAAGCTTTGATTGATAAGCTTGAGACAGTCTATGCCAGGTATGTAGGTCAGGAAGATAACAGCTGGGGAAGTGTGAGATGAAATGAGAGAGAGAGAGAGACCACACAGGGAGTCTCCCCAAACCCCGTTTCTTATTTATTGCTGAACAATTTCAGGATTACTCAGCACTTTTAGCACAATGCAATCTGACATGTAGCCCACTGCCTGTCTCATGCTTAGCCGACTGCTTATTTGTGATGTGTGCATTGTGCCTGATGGCTTTTTGCAAAGTTAGAGCGTTGGCAAGGCGACGCTTGAGTTGGAGTTTTAGCAGCAATTTTTGATCTGCCCTTACAGAGAAGCCGCTGAGATAACCTACCTTAAATGCATCACATGCACACAGCATATATCACACCAACAACCCCCTACTTTGGGATTTTAATTTCAGGGTGTCGGGCAGGCAGTCAAATCCCCATGTCTGCCAAAGTTATTTCAAGCGTTAGGAAATCACAGAAGTGTAGAGTTGGAAGGGATCCTGAGGACCATCGGGTCCAGCCCTCTGCAATGCCTGATGGGTACAAACTTCCTTTGCTCAATTCCTCTGCATCAGACTGCTGTTAAAGGCATGGGAGCTTGGCCATTTAAAACGATGGCAATCCTAATCATGAGACCAGCTGAACCGGGAAAACATAGCTAAACATGGATTAACTTTACCTCCACCAAGATCCAAAGCATCACACCATAAGAGGGTGTTTCAGTTCCTCTTCCTGGCAGCAGACTCCTTCCACATCCTCTGCAAGCCCTCAAAGGTCAGAGGCCCTCCAGAGTAATACCTCACAATGCTTAGGGGGCTGAAAAGAAGATGAAAAACCAGCCACTCCTATCGAAGAAGCTTCGTGCATGTAGACTTTTCTCTTTGGATCTAGACATTTATTTGTTTATTTAGAAGTGGTTGTGCGAATCGGTTCCAAGGCGACACGCTCTGTTCTTCTAGCTCACCCATCATGTGCAATCTTACCCTTCTTGTCTTTATTCAACTGTCTCCCAGCAGTTTTAATTGTATAAGTCCACCTCCCCCGCACCCCACCCACCCAGGTGTCAAGTCTTGAGCTGTCAGGTGGGCCTCGTTTCACATGTCATTTTGGAAGCTGATGGACTTACCAAGGTATGGCTGATTGAGCAAAGTGGAAGAGGGGAGTAGACAGAACTGCAGGTGTGAGCAATCTGTGAAGATCACTGCTAATCCATTAGGTAGTAGAACTCCCTGTGATGGGGGCTGGGGTGGGGGGAAAGCTAAGTGAACTGGGGGGGGGTGTAGGAGAAGAAAAAAAGCAAACAGGGAGGGAATAAACAGTGTGGTTTTCTTCTCCCAGGTGGCTTTGGGTTCATAAAATGTACTGGCTTTTTCTTTTTTTCTTTTTCGGTTGCTAATCATTTCAGCCATTTTTATTTCCTAACAAAAACAGTCACAGGCTGCTTGTAGAGGTACTGTTTTTGGACCACAGATATACTGGTATTCCTTGCAGTCCTGTCCATTTCCCTCTGGCACACCATCCTCATGCACTACCTTCATTTCCTTGTTGTGTTTGTGGTATCGACCTTTTGCTTACACTGTGATTTGTGTTTGCTGTCCTTCTCTTTGCCTCTGCGTCCCAGTGACAATCTTCTCTCTTCCTACTATGATCTCTACTCCTGTAACAGTCCAGCTCAAAACTGTAGCTGCACTCTTGGCTATAGTTAGGGCTGCCATATGTCCGGATTTTCGGGGTGTCCTGCTTTTTACTTTTGAAATATGGCGACCCTAGCTATAGTAATGATCCTTTCATCATATTTGTTGTGGGTGTCCTGTTAAGTTGTGGGTGAACATATCAGACAACACAGTGATTCTTCAAACAGCTCTTGTTTATTCACAGGCCAGAACAGAACTGAACTGAAGGGTTCAGCCAGCCTGCTTATATAGAGCTCCACTAGAACGCAACAGTAACCATTTTCTGTAACTATCCAATCACTGAACATCACTTTTTATCCCTTATTTGCATATGTGGACTTGAGTGAAAACTATCTACAGTATCCCCCTGCTGGCCCAGGGTGAGAACTTCAGTACATAACAGTCCGATCAAGGTCTCTTTCCCTCTTTGAGTTTGTGACCACTCCTGGGAACATTGGATGCCTTGTCTACTGTAGTTACCCAGGGCATGTGAGATGTAGAAATCGGAAGGCGGCTGATGATACCTGAATCTGCTGCGTTCTGGCTAAACAGAGGTGGCTGACCGTTGTTGAAGCTGGCAGAAGACATATTTGCTGCTGCCCCCCCCCCTGCAGTTTCAGATGCCTCTTCAAAGGCACCACCACATTCTCATGGGAAAGAGCATCGCTGGAAGTAACAGCCACAAATCACGCCAAGGATTCTGCCCAGAGCAAGTCATGAACTGGTAACCTGGGAGGTAGGGAGATATCTAACGGGAGATTCAACCAGTATGACATTGCTCAGCAATAGTGGGAGCTACAAAATATCAAGTGTTGGGATCAAAAGAGCTGGCAGTGGAGCAAGAGACAGAGGAAGCAGGCCTGGAATGGCCTGAAGGATGGAGAGGTGGTGGGACAGAAGAAACTGATGGCGGAAGATGAAGAAAATGATGTGGAGGTGGGACACCTATTGGCGGTGAAAGACCCGTTGATGGCACCAATGTCCCTGGTGAAAAGGACCACTTAGGAAACAAGGAAGTTGCTTTTTGCATGGTTAATGCAAGTTCAATCAGAACATGGTCCATAATTTTAATATTTCCAGTGGCATTGTGTACCAAGGCAGTTAGGATGGAAGGAGAAACTAGAATCAACAGGGAGCTTTTCACTCCAGACATCAAAGCCCCATCTACAAAGTGGATGTAAGAAATGATATTGACTTTTCCATTTTTTATCTTTCCCCTAAGGGCAATTTCCATATTTTTACATCCATCCAAATCTGCTAATGAAACCCTGCAAATGTTCACAGGTAGATATCCACCTAAGATTACTTCCCCTTTAGAAAATGACATGAGCCTATTTAAAGATTTGTTTAGAAAGTCAGATTGTTTTATATTTGCAGCATGGTGGGAGCCTGCTATTATTTCTTTAGAACCATTCAACAGACCTAGGACAAAAACAAACATACTACTCTGATCATGTATTATAGCAATGATTTTAAAGTCTAGATTAGCACTGATAATTACAGCCACTTCCGATAACTTATTAGAACCAGGAACCAGGACCTGCTGACCTGCTGGCTAAACTATTTATCATTTAAAAACTTACCTTTTCTCGTACTTTGTGGATTTCCTTTAACAAAGTAATATGCGGTTTCATACTTAATAAGTATGTACTTAGCCATTTCCTTTTAATTACATCACCCAAAGCCTTCACATTCAAGGTCACTAATTTAAGAGCTGCCATTTACAAGAAAACATTTATAGAAAATGTATTTTACATTTCAATATCCAAGGAACTGCATTACCCTGAAAATACAACAACAAAAATGGGAACACATGGAGAAACCTGGAGCGTAAAACTTCACTTTAATGATATGCCTGGTTTTCAACCTTCACAGATCACCTACTTTGCCATGTAGGGCAAGAGATCATCAGTAAGAACAAAAACAATATTGCTAACACCCTTGAGCAAGTAAGCTCACAAAACTCAACAAAGGGGAGGAGTAATAAACTTACGATAGAACTAAATATAAACATGAAGCTCCATTAGTGCCATCATATGTATACTGAAATTAGTTCAGAAGGCCACTAAGACTCGAGGAATCAAAATAAAGGAATCATAGAAAGCCTGCTTTAGAAAAGGAAATTCTAGAAAGATTGGGGTGGGAGCAAGAGTGAGGAAAGAGGGGAGGGGAGAGATAAGGATAGCCCTAGAAAAATAGTTAAAAGGAGAAAAGAGGATGAGAACAGAAGGAAAGGTGGGGAAAGGGAGAAAGAGAACTGGGGAGGAGAAATAAAAGAAAAACAAGGGGAGTCAGCAGAAAATAAAAGCGGAACAATAAAAGGGAGAATAAAAATAAAATAAAATTCATTACAATACGTTGCCAAGAATTTGCAGCTAGTGGAGAAGAAAATGTTCACTGGCTGGTCAGTTTCAAACTTTACAAAATTGTAGTAGTAAAATCAGGCTGAGTGGATATGTCAACGGAGTCTAGTAGGACAAGGACGTAGAGAAAGGTTTGCCGTTTCAGAATAGCCTCTCTTATCTCTGTGAAGCTGCTTTTGGGAGGATGCTGTTTCCTAGTTATTTCCTTCCATTCATCATCTGAGAGATCTTCCTTTTCACCCAAAGTCCCAATGAGAACTTCATAGATGAATGGGAGTTTGACCCCAGTTCTGTGGGGTGTTAGCATCCAAAATGCATATGTGAAGGGTTAATTGCAAGAGCTGTGGAACCCCATGACCTCATACACTCTGCGGCAGTTATGGCAGTTGGTACAGTTATGACAGTTAGTTGAACAGTCTTAACAGTCTAGAGCGGCCGGCATGTTGTGTTGTGATGCTGTCTGCCTCAGGGCCAGAGTTAGTCTGCAACAGTTTAAATCTATGTAAGATGTTCTAGCAACTCAAGAAACACCCACCTGCGTTGTATATATTTTAATCTGCAACTGCAAGAACACTAAGTAAAAGTTATATATTATTTAAACTTTAAAAGAGGGTGTCTTGCATAGTTGTTATAGGAGGGGAAAGAGAACAAATTAAAGGGTCAAATGACCCAGAGCTATTTTTCCACATACTCTGCAAATGGGAACTAGAGCAGACCCTCCAAGTATCCCTATTTTCCAGGGATTTCCCTGGTTTAAGAGAAGCCATCCTGGTTTCTGATTTGATCCCAGAATGTCCCACTTTTCTTTAGGATGTCCCTATTTTCATCAGAAAAATGTTGGAGGGTATACTAGAGTTTACTTCCCACAAGGTCTCCCCGGTCCTAATCCAGGGTGAGTGAGAATGTGTGGGCATGTACTGATACATACTTAGATTAGTCATAACCACATCCACATCTAGGCAGTGATGTGCATCAGCCTGCATATAGACTATGCTAGTGGAAGCAAGACTCCTTTAGCAAGCGAGAGGAGCTGGCACGCACTTCAGGAAATACCTTAGTAACTCTCAAGGTGCTTGAGAGTTGACGCTGAGAAGGAGAACCAACTAAAGCTTCGGTAGGAAATGGATACAGATGTACACTGTGGGACAAATGCTTCAGGGATTTAAAGAAACACCATCTCCTGCAAAGCACCCGCCCACGCCATTGTATTATGTTAGCATACCAGTCACTTCTGCACACCTGGGAGATGTTGGCAACGCCACATGCACATCAAATCTACTGAACATATGACCTGGGCAGTTTATTGTGTTGTTACTGTGCCAGGTGGATGGGCTGTACGTAGATTCTTAGGTCATTACTTATTCATTTACAGTTTTTAATTGATACTCTGCCGTATTCCTCAAGATCAGGGTATTCTGGGGTATTCTCAGGGTATTCTGCCGTATTCCTCAAGTTTTTGGGGGCGGGGGGGGCAGAATAATCTTGGTGCTTCAAACTCACATCTCCCGCTCAAGATAGCATTTTGAGCAATGCAACTAAATACCAGATCAAATGCCCATTCCTTGCTCCCACTTGCACTTCTTCCACTCCAAGGAAGAACAATTTAATTAATATCTCATTTGTTCTGTTCAGCTGCAGTACTCATTTGCCCAGAACACTCAAGCATGCACACAGCCCAGTGTTTCAACACTTTGATAGTGTTGCTTCACACCAAACGTACATATTTGTCTCAAGGCCTTCCCATCAATGACACACACCTGTCTCTAGGCCTTGTGTGCCAAGACATTTTTCTCTTTTATTTCGGAGCCACTAGATTGCTCATAAACATTCACAACATGGATGCAATGATTCACAACTGATCCAATGGCTAGTGGGCTGGCCCGTTTCAATATACTGGAGCTTCAGTTCTTATAGCAAACTGTTGGCATCCATCTGGCTTGGGAAACAATGGAAGAGTGCAGCATCAGGGGTAAAGTCAAACCCTTGGAGAATTACAGCGCCTGCTGTGGCTGTAGAGACCAATACAGGAAATACATGTTTTACTGCAGCTGGGGCAGATGAAGGCGTCCAGTTGTGCTGCTACAGAGGCACCACTACGTTTTTTCCCCTCTGAACTTCTCACAGTGGTCATTTCTCCTCTGGTCATTGCTGTGAATACACAATCTGTCTGTCTCCAGGCACTGCGGTCGTCTGCAAGGGATTATCACACGCTGCCACATTCGGTAAAATATACTGTTGACATGTCAGATCCTGTCAAATGTTAACTTTGGTGCCATCAGATATGATCAGATGTTAACTGTTCCTGAAAAATCACTGAATGTCCAGGGTTGGTGACAAATTGAACCACTAACAATCATCCATGTTTAGCCATGCAATATTTTGGAAATATAATATATTGAGTACTATACAGTAGGAGGATAATTCACAATGTGGCACAAGGAAAGGAAGGTCAGCATGTTTGTGTGTGTGGTTTTCCCCCCTGGGCTCTGTTTCTGAATCTTATGCTTTCACCACCCTTGTGCAAATATGAACCTTCAAATCTCTCCCAGGGTGCCTTCCCACCATCTTTACAGCTGCAGCTGGAGCAAAGTCCCTTTTGATGACTGGCAGTTAAAACATTTTTGTGGTTTGTTGCCTTATCTAACCACTTAGACCTAAAGAAAGATGTTCTGACAAGCAAGATGGTACAAACTCAAGAGTAAACACATATTTGAATGACTTGGGTAGAGGAGGGAGGGAGGTTTAAGAGGCAGATAGCATCGCCTTTGTTATAGCAAGCAGTTATTCTTTCCTTCCGTAGCCTCACTTCTATCAAGAGAACTTGAGGAACACAATGGATTATATATATAAGTATTTAACACACACACCCAGCCAATATATAGGAAGCAGTGACAAGATGGTAGTTTATGTTGTTGTGCCTATGGCAGCTTCCAGCTCTGGCATATCAGAAATTGGGCCAGCCCTACCATTAGACAGAGCGAGGTGTCGCTTCAGGCAGCTCTGATTTAGGGTATGATGAAAGGGTTACGGATGAGCAAATTTCTTTTTCTCTCGGTTTCTCATTTCCCCCTCAATCATAAATTCAGTTTTTCACATTTCCACATCAGTTTGCAATTTTTTTTTTTTAAAAAGTGTGAATTTCTCCTAATACATTTTTTCCTTTGCAATTTTGCCTAATTGACTCATTTCTGAAAAGCAATTTCCCCTAACGAAATGCATTTTGTATGCTATTTTCCCAACATGTGACTTTTTATGCACACTTCAGTATGCCTTAGTATATGTATACCCCAACCTAACCCTGCTCCCAAATTACTTGGCTGGAGAACTGCATTGCAAAATTCAGAGAAGTGCAGATTTTGAAAACTGGCTACGCTTAGGTTTGCATATTGATTCAGAAAGTGCAGATAAGTTATGCTCATCTTAAAATGTAAACCAAATAGAATTTATCGCCCGGCTGAGAGGTAATCTCCATTGAGTTTGATAGGACTGACTTCCAAGTAAGTATGTACTGGACTGCAGATTTAACTCCCAGTTGTATTTTTACTGCTAGAGAGGGGAAGAGGCCCCTGTGGGATATTCTGCTTCAGGTGCCAAATTCATTTGATGGGCCTTGGGTACCTTGCATCCAGAACTGTGGTAGTGCAGGGGAGACACCTCTCCACTGCTGCAAAATGTCTCATGACCCCAGTCCTGAGCTTGGGAATTACAATTGTATGATAATCTTAATATTTAGTTATCATCATATTTATCCCGCTCTGGGACCTTAGGGTGAAGGGTAGGGGATAAACAAACAAACTTCACAGTTTTTTTTCTCATCTGGAGGTACCATCCCGTTGCACAACAACCAACAACCTACACTGCATGGCATAGGAAAGAATTTTGCACGATTGCTATTGAATACAGGATAGTGATTATATAATGGTTAATAATAATGATGATGATAAAAAACCACCCTATAGTTGAAAAAGTCAATGCAGAAGGAAGGTGTGAAACCACATCGGTGTGTAATATGACTCACAGCTAGCACATGTTTAAGAGCCACATTCATTTTCCATTAGATTAGCACCCAAATCATCAGTGATGCACTACAAAAACGAGCCTGCTAAGAAATCAGAGAGCTTTATGTTTCCTCCACACACTCCAGAGCTTCATTCAATTACACTTATTCTTCTGAATCCTTGATGTTGAATTAATAGCATAATTTCACAGCCTGATGACTTATAGAGCAACTCCCCTCTCTTCATCATATGAAAAGAGAAAACCCTCCTAGGAAATGGAAGGAAGTCAGGTTTTCGAAATGTGGGGATTTCCCTCCCCCGGCCCAGTGACTAACACCACAAAGCCCCCACATTTCAGCCAAATTCTTGAACTCATCAAAACTTCCAACGAGCCCCCAGTCAAATAAACAGGGTGCTTTTATTGCCACACCCCTGCTATTTTGTGGTACACATTTATCAAATTTCTGAAAGTAGAAGATTCCTGAATTAAAATGGGAATGTCTCACTTATGCCTCGACAACATCTGCTTTCAGATATGCAAGGGTGTAAGAATTACCTTCCCCTTTGGAGGCCCCCAATCCACATTTTTGTGTGAATGAGTCACAGTTATTGGTGTTCCCCCTAATGTGAAGGAGGCATGTGTGGAATAGTAAGTCATTATGAGATGCAACAGCACAGCCTCCTCCTATGAGGGTCTGTAATTCAGAAGTGACTGAATGATCCATGCAGAGGCATGGCAAAATTATTATTATTATTAGAGCAGTGCACTTGATCTAACTGAATCACAGATCCCAAGCAGAATTGGACCAATTTGGGTCAACCAAGGTTTTTACCACAGTGGGTTAAGGGACCCCAGGTTCAAATGGGTCCACCAAGACCACCATGGGGCTGTAAAAATTGGGGAATAGTCTGGTGGCAAGGAGACAGAGGAGGAGATGCACACAGGCAACTCTCCCCTTCTCCCCCTGACAAGTTTAATTAGGGTTTAAGTAGGGTATAATAACTTGCCTCGCCTGGGTTTCCTAACGTTCCCTTCTTTTCTCCCTCTTAAAAACCTTTTCTCCCCCTTAAAATAAATATCACACAAACTGCCATAAAAGGTGAAAATAGCATTTACTCAGTCTACGTCTTGAATAATAACATACAGCAGCTTGATGTAGGCAGGCTTAGTGAGTTACTAACACTGAAGTCTAGCTCAGGGGTTGGCAAAGTTTTGGGGGCTGGGGCCGGTTCACAGTCCCGCAGACACCGCGGTGGGCCGGAGTGTGTGCTCGTGTGCGCACACACGCGCAGACACTATTTCTGGCGCTCCTTCTGGCACGGAGGAGGCGTGTGCAGCTTCCCATTGGCTGCAGGAGCTTCCTGCAGCCAATGGAAAGCTGGCCAGCATTGTGGAAGGCGGTCCCCGCTCTGATCTGCGCTGGTTTAGCCGACTGAGCGGGCAGTGGGGGCCCACGGGCCGGTTAAATATCCCCCATGGGCCTTAGGTTGCTGACCGCTGGTGTAGCTTAAAAATGGAGTCTGAGCTGGAGTCTGAGCTGGAGTTCAGACAGACAGATGTTTTCACGTTACAGACATGGCAGAGGAGCAAATATAGCCACACCCTCTTCCTGTCAGGACACAAGAGGGAAGTGATCTCACAGAGTTCTCTTTAGCACGTTTACAGGAAAGTTCTGTGAGCCTCAGCCCCTTCATCTGCCTATCTGGCAAAATGTGAATTGTTGGCTTGGCTGCAATAAATGCCCCACATTTAATACTGCTTGCGCTGGAAGCCTGCCCCATGTGGTGAGCCAGTGCACTGCATGCTGCAGCCTCTGCTTGTTATTATTTATTACATATATATAAATTCAATAAATAATAATAATGGCAGCTCACAGTGGCGAACAGACAAGTGATGAAACATGTAAAAACAATTCTGATAGAGATGCAGACTGGGAACCATCTCTTCTTAAAAGGCTCGTTAGAAGAGGGAGATGCATCGTGCTATTCTGGACAGACTCTGTCCACCCTGGTTTGCTATTGGTTCTTCCCAGGAAGGTGTGTAAGAGGGCTTCCTCTCCCAGTTAAGCCTTGGTCTTCCTTGCCTCCAGTGCATTCCTATATCCTTTGGCTGTCTTTCAGTCCTGCCATCTGGTCTGATCCTCAATCAAATCCAGTTACCTAATTGATACTGCTAGTGAATCCTAGGGGTCTTCACTGGATTGCCTTCTTAGCATTTTCCAATGCTGCGCAAATGTCTGTATAATTGCATTGCTACATAGACCTTCCTATATTGGCACCTGTGCAGCTAAATGCACACCAAGAGAGTTTAATCAGAATGGTCTCCATTAACTTATCTCATCTAGAGCCCTCAACGTATTAATACAAGTTTCTGTGATGTATTAAAACATGGTCGAACTCACCGGGGAGATAGACAGAGTGTAAAATAAAACAATTTTGCTTTCGTAGCACAGGTATAATTGGTACGTTAATTGCAGTCAACTTTACCTCTCTCAATATTATTAACCTCCTGATTTTCTCCAGCACGGCAAGTGGAGGAATATCATTCTATAGTATATTCTCAAGAAGGGGATTAAATAATAGGCACAAATGAAGTCCAAATCTAGTACAAAAACACACACACGGAAAAGATACATCTCCCAGCTGTCTCACTAATATATCCCAAGTCTGAGATAGCTATCAGAGCAGCCCAGACTTCAAATTATAGCAATTATGACGGTTTGTGCTGGTAGCCAGGAGGTGGGAATTTTTTGATGTGGTTAAAAATAACATCTTTTTTTAAAAAAAAAATCCCATAAAAATTACATTTTGCTAATTTTCTGATAAGATAATGTTGGAGCTAGGTAGCGTGTCTTCCAGAGCCTGTTTTCAATTACAGCTCTTCTTCCCCTTCTGGGCTTTTACCACCTTGTCTATGGGATCCAATTCCATTCTGAGGAGTTCATTTGTTTTAACTTTCTTAATTAATTGTATTGTATAGGTTTTGCCTTTCAAGCCGATATCAATCTTCCAGAGTTATTAACGAGCCTTGATTGCCATGGCGTGATACAAAGCTCAGCACGGTTAAGTTGTTCTCTCTGTCACACGCAGAACAGAGTTCCCACATTAGCCCGCTAAACAAAAATAATTGCACGTAATTTAGAGGGGAACAAAGGACAAGAGCCTTGTGGTTGGGGAGGCTGAGGAATAATAACATACAGAAATCAAGTTGTGTGTCTGACTTCTCTTTCCGAATTAGATACCCAGGCTAGATACCCAATTGGGCCCAACAGCCATCAGGTTTGTTAAACAAAACCTCCCACTGACTGTCCTCTAAGCCAGTGTTTTTCAACCACTGTTTCTATTATGCTTAATGTATGTAGGGTTTGGTGTCAGTGTTGCTTGTGCTGTTCACTTGTGTTCCTTTGGTGGTGAGAGAGGTTAGGGTTGGCCTAGGGTGTGGTTGTTTGTTTGTGATTGGCTGTGGTGATCTTTGTTTTCGTGTGTGAGTGGGGTGGGTGGGTGTTTTGGATCAGGTTAGCCATATTGATTTGTATGCTGTTGGTGGATTATTGTCATTGTCTTGTTGGGCTGTGTATGTGATAAAGGGGAGCCATACCGGGGTAAAGGCGTCTTCTTCTGTTTGTCCCCATGTCAGTTTCAGTTTATTAGTTAATTTTTCTAGTAAGGCTGTTTCCCATACTATTTGGTACCATTGGTCCATGCTTACTCCTGACAGGAACAGAAAAGCTTTTAAAAACACATATGGAAATCTATGGTTTTGGATAAATGCTGCAGCATCACCCAAAAAGCAAGTTTTTTTAAAAAAATAGTAACAACAGAAATGGGAGCGTTACGAATCCGCGGACATCTTTAAAATGGCACAAAGCCCTGGGTCCTCCTTTTTCCTGCTCATTTTTCTGACGGTATTAATTTGCACCGTTTGATCTTCTGCAATTTGTAGCAACCTCACCTGTCTTTTGAGATTTCTCTTCTCGGGATAAGCCTGTCGCCTCAGATAAAACTGCTGATTTTTAACAGGCTGGAAAGCATTTTGGTGAACAAAGAGAACAACCTAACAGTCAACATCAGGGCCTGTAGCAGTGCGCAATCCAGATCCTTGCTGCCTCTGCCAAACTTCAGCAGCCATGGGGAGAGAGGTGTCTTGCACCCCTTGCGGGATACAGGTGACTAGTTTGCCAAATGAGTGCCGGAATACAGGAAGCTGGCTTGTAGAGAGTCAGACTGTTGATTTCATCTAGCTCAGTCCTGCCAGCTCTGACTCGCAGTGGCTCTCCAGGGTTCCAGGAATCTGTCTCAGCCCTACCTGGATACGCTGGGGAATGAATCTGGGACCTATTGCAGGCAAGGCAGATGTTCTGCAACTGAGCTATGGAAAAATGATATCTTCTGTATTCAAAAAAGTGGGAAGGGGGTGGTGGGAAGATGACGTACTGCACTAATCGTTGGTATTTGTTTGTTTGCTTGTTTATTTCTTTGTATAATGTATCTAAAATCTGACCTTCGCCTGAAGGTCCCATGGTGGAAATATACACAATTCAAACCAAAAATTAAACTAGATTAAAGCAGCATAAAACAAAATACAGATGAAACTATTGTTGTACAATAATAATATATAATAATAATAAACTACCGCCCATTTTCAGCCCATTAGAGGTGTGTTTTCCTTTGACAGTGTTGCAACTAGAATAGATTTAATGCAATATTTAATACAATATTTTAAGGCACTACTGAAGCATGTATTTGGTTGATTGTTTTTTTGGGTTGATTGCAGCAGGAGAGATACTACTCAATTCATCCATTCAAATAAACAAGACTTGGAAATGCTTAGCACAGGTTACCCTGAAATTATTGTTGGATAAGCTGCTGCGGTTTTAAATGAAATGCAGGTAGGTAGGCCATCAAGGGAAAGCACTTTGAGCAGAGGAGCAGTTAAAGATCTTAATTCACTTTCTCTAAAATCTTTTATGAACTTGCCAAACGTATATTACATATCTATTGAGATAAAAAGAGAAGGGAGGAAAGTGTCAACAGAAAAGTCTCTGTGCTATGCCGGGTTTTGTTTTGTGTACCTGACCGTATATTTTACCTGGTCAATTACGTCTTCTCTCTCCAGGGCTCAGCAATAATCCACCTGTCAGCTATGGAAGCCCAAACTGCACTTTGCACCAGCACTCGTGACACTATTTAATTGGAGTGGGGGAGGGAATGGAAGGCGAGGGATCCTTTTCTTAGGCAGGTGCATCTGAAAGTCAAAAATGACCAAGGAGACCATAGTGGTTGGCCTTCAGCTCTTTAAACATCTCCTGGAGTTGCTATGCAGCAGAAAAAGAGAGAGAAAGGGCACTCCAGTGTGATGGTGGCAGTAGGAAAAGAAAGAGGGTGGAATCTCTAGTATTTGCTGATGACAATATCAGTGACAGAGCTAAGAATTAAGTAATGCCTCGCTACATCCAACCATGTATAGCTACAAGGCCTTAGAAGGCTTATCAGCAGCACACATTAGAGATTGACAATATTATTACATGCAGTAAAAAATACTGCAACTTTTTATAGAAAATTTTTGGAAGGTCTTGCGGGGGGTGTTTCACAGTACCACAGCAGGGGACTTGAAGTCGGCAAAGTTTTTTAAAATATATATATTTGAGGGTTTGGGGACACTAAAAAAAATGTTATGGAGCATAGAAAAACTTAGCATCAAGGCATCACAGCGGAGGACCCATTGAAGCAGTAGAAAAAAACCCTAAGGGAAAAATAATGACTAATTCTTTTGGGGGGGGTTGTGGCCCATAACATTGTTTGTGTGTGTTTCTAAATACAGTTTACAGACTGCAGGTTAGCCATGTTTCATGTCGATGGTGAGGTTTTGGCTTCCTAAGGATCCAAACTTGGAGAAGGAAGTTATTATTAATCTATAAGATTGCTCTAAACACAAAAAAAATTCCCTCCATGGCTGACCTTGTGCTGACCTTTTATTTCTCAGCCTCCATGTTATCCACCTGCAATACAGGAGTGTTAACTGGTTGTCTATGTGTTTGTGCAGCTGTGCAGGAGACTTTTACGGTTTTTGTGTTGAAAGCCCTAAATCTACAGTGACATAGAATTGTAGAGTTGGAAGGGACCACGGGGGTCATCTAGCCCAACCCCTTGCAAAGTCGGAATCTTTTGCCCAATGTGGGGCTTGAACCCATGAACCTGCGATTAAGATTCTCATGCTCTACTGACTGAGCTATATCTTGCATACAGACTTGTACTTGCAAACACAGATTGCTCTAGTGTATGGCTTGTGTATGGCTTGGGGTACAAAAGATCATTGACTGTGCTTCCTAATCCATCTTTTTGAACCCTGCTGCACCCTGCCACTGTTTTGCACCTGGCTCCAAGTTGGTGGTGGACCATGGAGTTCCAGTAAAGAACAGTCCCACAAGCCTGAAGCCTGCCTGCTCCTTATTCCAGAAATAGTGGACAGTTTCCTCCCAATCCGAGCCGTGCTAGGGAGCCCCACTCCACAATTTCAGGCTGCCTATAAATAGTTCTGCATTTAGATCTCACTGTTTAAGCTCAATGCCTTGTTTATTCTTCCTGTCTAACCTGTGATGCATCCATTGTAGAGATGACTAAGAGATTCATGTTCAGCGGGAGAATCAGGATAAGGTACATGCCAATCACAGAACAGCATGCAGGAAGTGACAGCTCTGAATGACACAGATATGTGTCTACATCAGTTACAAGCTCAGATAGACAACCGCCCCACAGCTGCCTGCCAGATCTGAAAACATGGATCCTGGGAAATATAAAAGAAACCAAAGAGCTGGTTTCAGTTCTGCTTTGCGTACAACATGTAGCGTTCATTTCCCCTATCGTGCCAACGTCCTTTCTTCAAAAGGATGGAATTTGGGAAACATAGCTTCTTCTTTTTTTAAAAAATAATAAAAATAATAAAAGACACATATTTCTCCCACCTGCAAGAGGAACTACTTATATATAAACGCTGACCTTTAAAGTTTTTCAGATCACCTTTACAAAGAGATCCTCTCAGCTTTCATCCCCATAGGAACGCAAGCAATTTGCAAGGCACACAGAGCCTCTTAGAGCAATACTGCCCACCATCTTGCGGCACTGGGAAACTTTTTTAAATGGAGGAGAAAAATTCTCTTCTCCTCCCCCCCCACCTTTTCTCCCAGAATGGATAGACAGTCTTACCCAGCATTGCCTCTCTGCATGTCAGTAACTAGCGGGCAGGTAAAAAGAGAGAGAAAGAAAAGATCTTTTTATTTAGATAGGAGTTTGGCTTCTGTTCAAATTGATCTGTTTTATCTGCTGTTGCTGCTCATAACTGTCTGTTTTGTTGCTCTGTATTTTTATGAGCTAGCTTTATATACCATTTCATATTTTATGGCAGGCATGGGAAGCCCCAAGCAAAATGTTTTGCAGCAGTGGAGCACTGTTGCACGAGAAAATGCACAAGAAGGTTGCTTGTTTCCGCTAGCACAAATGTTGCAGAGAATTCCTGTGCTGACCAACATTAAATCTCACCTGTACACTAGTGAGTTTGCTTGCATTTACCTGCCTCTTGAGGTCTTCTCTCAATGAGTTCTCCTTATTGGCTCGCTGCTGTTCTATTCACCCAGTCCAAAGTTGTATCCTACTGACACCCTTAATGCACGAAACAAGGGCGGATAAATACTATCTGGTGGATAAATAAAAATGAGGGATAATGGCACTCTGTGGTCCTATAGGCTGCAGCAAAGGAGAGGGAACAGTTGCATCTTCTGAGCCACTCATCCTGTCCTCCTATTATGGGAATCTTTTGGAAGTACCTTGGTCTTCAGGTATATACCCATCCTCTTACCCTTCTGTGGGCTAATCTACTTCCTCATATGGTTTGTTGATAAGCACCCCGATACTCTTAAGATGGTTTCAGAAGCGAGCACAGGCCTGAATAATATGGCCAACCAAGCCAAATGCAGCCTGTTAGCCTGCAGCTTGGCAACTTTTTATTTTTTATTTTTGGCAGCCCAGTTAGCATAAACAGGAGGCATTTTGAGCTGCTACCAGACATGGTGGGTAGGATGTGCTTGGTTTGGCAGGTCTAGTCTAGTGCAACCTTCCATGTTATACAGCACCCAGTTAGCTACACATTGGGAAGCGGGTGGCGCTGTGGATTAAACCACAGAGCCTAGGACTTGCTGATCAGAAGGTCGGCGGTTCGAATCCCCACAACGGGGTGAGCTCCCGTTGCTCGGTTCCTGCTCCTGCCAACCTAGCAGTTCTAAAGCATGTCAAAGTGCAAGTAGATAAATAGGTACCGCTCTGGCGGGAAGGTAAACGGCGTTTCCATGCGCTGCTCTGGTTTGCCAGAAGCGGCTTAGTCATGCTGGCCACATGACCCGGAAGCTGTACGGCGGCTCCCTCGGCCAGGAAAAGCGAGATGAGCGCCGCAACCCCAGAGTTGGTCACAACTGGACCTAATGGTCAGGGGTCCCTTTACCTTTACCTAGCTATACTTTTACCACAGGCAGAGCAGAAAACAACTCTGCTGCAAGAGCTGCTTGCTTCATTTTTGGCCTTGATACCTCCTGAGATATGCTAACGCAGTTAGTCCAAATTAAGGCAAATGCTACCAATGGCGGCTCAACCGCATCAGTTTCTCAGCCCTGCTGCTCTTGAATGGCATTCCCTGTGGCTATAATTACCTTTAGTTGTTTTTTCCCCCTTTCTGCCAGCATAATCCAATTATAAACCAATAGCTAAACCCACAACATATTTGCTTGTTTCTTTGAATAGTGAGCATGTAAAAGGGAACAGTCACAAAAGCATCGTGTTTAATACCCCCCCTAGGCAGTACTGGGCACCTGTCTTGTTGTACCCGCCATTTTCTGCGCTACTGACAAGACTTTAGGCCAAAGGTCAAGGTGTTTGATTACAGAAAGACACGTTTTTAATAGTTGTCAGCCGGCTGCCAAGGAGAAAGTTAGTAGGAAGTTCATGCAGCAATAACCACAGTCATACTGGCTGTTTAGAAAAATGAAGTACAGCCACAAGATAGAAGGGACAGAGACTTAACAACACAATCCTATACAGGTCTTCTCAGAAAATTTAAAAAAAAACAAACCTCAGTGAGTTCAGAGGGCAAGTGTGGCAGTTCAGCTGCAACTTGAGGAAGCGCTTCCCAAAAAGCTTTTCAGCTTGCAAAGGAGCTGAGCTGCAAAACGTCAGTCGTTGATCTAGCAAGCTCAGCTGCCGGACGATGCCAATTGCATTGTGCAGGAAATTTACATGAAGCAGAAAGGCAATTCCTGTGACCATTTCATCCCATGGTAAAAAGCCAGTTCCAATCTGTCTGGTGGGTCTTACTGCATTTTTAACCTGCAGCGCTGCTTGTTAAGACTAATAATTATAATAATAATAATAATAATAATAGTTACAGTCATACCTTGGGTTGAATGTGCTTCGAGATGAGCATGTTCGAGTTGCGCTCCGCGGCAACCCGGAAGTAACAAAGCGCGTTACTTCCGGGTTTCGCCACTTGCGCATGCGCAGATGCTCAAAATGACGTCACGTGTATGCGCAGAAGCACCGAAACGTGACCCACGCACGCGCAGACACACGGACACGGGTTATGGTAGCTTCTAGATGCGAATGGGGCTCCAGAACGGATCCCGTTCGCATCTAGAGGTACCACTGTATTGTTATTGGTTTTTTACTGCCCATCATCTCAGGATCACAGAGCAGTTTACAACAGAAAAAACACAAAAATACATACCATAGTAACAAACAACCCCCATTTATTCCTGTTTTAAAGACTATAGATTGTTTCATTAGCCTAAGGCCTGGGAGAAGACGAATGTTTTTGCCTGGCACCTAAAGATATGCAATGAAGGTGCCAGGTGAGTCTCCCTGGGGAAAGCTGCCTTATACTGATTCAGACCCCTGCTCTGTCTCCAATGACTGGCATTCATTCTCCAGGGTTTCAGGCAGGAGACTAATACTGAGACCTTCTGCACACAGAGCAGATGCTCTACCACAATTTTCCTCATTTTGGGCAGAATGCTTCATTCTGTGCCAGCACATCTAAGATCAATCTGCTTTATTTTTGTCCTACAGCGTTTGAAGCCAGTTACATATGTGCTGCTTTCAATCAGTCAATGTTATTGCTGCATCATCTCAAGGACACCGTGAACGAGCAAAGCTGAAAAGCAAAGTGAAGTGTTGCTTATTTTGGGTTGCAGCAGGATTGAAGATTTCACCTTGGTTTTTCCATACAGCTGTATAACAAATAAAATAGCCTGACAATTAAGTGTCTCAGATTGGATGTGGCGTTCCCACAATGCAATACTGATTTCAGTCAGTTAGGACTGGCCAAAGACATTTTGCTGCATGAGGGCTTCTCCTGCAACCCCTTTAAGGAGCATAGGCAAGACATTCTCAATCGTGGGTCCCCTGGTGCTGTTGGACTACAAATCCCATCATCGCTGACCACTGGTCCTGCTAGCTTGGGATGGTGGGAGTTGTAGTCCAACAACATCTGGGTCCCCAAGGCTGAGAAAGGCCGGCAAAAGTCCTAAGGCCTGCCAAATTATTATGAGACCTGAGGCAGAAATATGTACTCTCCCTGTCAGTAAAAATATATGAATTGTAGATGAAGTAACTATCAAAGTCCTGTGTTTTTCAGGACATCCAAAATCAGCTGTCTGAGGAGACTGCCTCTCTCTTCCTAGTAAAAGGGCTGGCCATGCACTGTGGTTTGTAGGCAAACCTGGACTGTTTGTGCATTATTTTGGGCACCCATTTACGAAAGGGCACATGCCCTCTCTTTCTGCACATTTCAGGAAAGAGTGCGTGTGCACGAGCATGACCACCACAGTCTGTTTGTTTGTTTGTTTGTTTGCTTGTTGTTTCTCATGAAGCTTTGTTTATTTATTTTCGGCCATCCCTCTAGTTCTGAAATATACTCAGAGTCGAGAGTGGATTTCATGCTCTTTATTCAGCTCATAGTGGTGAGGAGGGAATGAAAGTCCCCTCAAAGTATCTGCTTTATATACATTATTTACACAATGGGCTGCACGTGACTGGCTAATTCCGGAATTCTCCTGTAGGCCAATCAGGTTGTGGATTCACTTCTATCTGGAGCTGGATTGGGTGGATCCTGCCGACCAATCATACTGCTGCATTGTTCTAGGACCAATCAGACTGCTGCATTCTGAATCCTATTGTTCTAGGACCAATCAGACTGCTGCAGTTTGGATCCTATTCAACTCAGTACATAACAAGTTCCATACATTGAAGAACTAGGTTGTAACAATAGTTCTTCCACGTAAGGAACTAGAGGGATGCCCGCCCCAAGCTTCATGAGAAGCAACAAACAAACAAACAAACAAACAAACAAACATTGGCTTGTATCCAACGCAGCCTGAGGCCCACATTCCCTTATGGACAACATCCCAAGACCTGCCTTCCAGTGGTGGGTGGGAGACAGAAGCAAATGCAGGAGAAGTCATGAACGTGACTCCTACCTTTGTATGGAGTCATAGCATTCTACTCACACATCTCTCCATCCTCCAAACAAGATAGAGGCATCAACATCATGAAAGGACACGTTCCAGCACTCCAGTAGCATGAGATGCTGGGTCACTGAGCGGTAAGAATTGGAGAGGACAGGACAAAATGGACTGTTTCAAGAAGTGGCAGAGAGATATTTCTAGATTTGTCTGGCAGGGCAAGAAGCCTAGAATAAAATTTAAAATACTAACAGATGCAAAGGAAAGAGGTGGATTTGCCCTGCCAGACCTTAAACTTTATTATGAATCAGCAGCTTTTTGCTGGTTGAAAGAATGGCTGCTTCTTGAAAACACAGACATTTTGGATTTAGAAGGTTTTAACAATGTATTTGGATGGCATGCATATTTGTGGTATGATAAGGTCAAAGCACATAAAGCATTTAAAAACCATATTGTCAGGAAAGCATTGTTTAATGTCTGGATAAAATATAAGGACCTGTTGGAAAACAAAACCCCAAGGTGGCTGTCATCGATGGAAGTGAAAGCTCAGAAAAAGCTCAATATGGAGGTCAAATGGCCGAAATATTGGGAAATTTTGGAACAAGAGGGAGATAGACTGAAACTGCAGAGTTTTGAGAAATTAAAAAACAAAGTGCGAGATTGGCTTCATTATTATCAGATAATGGAGGCATACAATTTGGACAAGAAAATTGGCTTCCAGGTGGAAAAATCAAAATTAGAAACAGAACTGTTAGAATCCAAAACTAAGATTTTGTCAAAGATGTATAACTTGCTGTTGAAATGGAATACACAGGATGAAACAGTGAAATCTGCTATGATTAAATGGGCACAAGATGTTGGACATAACATAATGATGGCTGACTGGGAACAGTTATGGACCACTGGTATGAAGTTTACGGCATGTAATGCCTTAGGAGAGAATATTATGAAAATGATATATAGGTGCAGATGACACCAAATTGGGAGGGGTGGCTAACACCCCAGAGGACAGGATCACACTTCAAAATGACCTTG